CGCGATGTGAATTCGGAAGTTCCGCCTGGGTCGCAACGCACGTTTCAGGGCGGGTACATTTCTCGCTGTTACGTCAGTTGGCAGCGAATCCGCTGTAGCCACTCTTTGTCGTCATGATACAGGCGCATAGCTCGCAACTTCGCATCCTGGCAAGGTAGGTGTCGGGTGAAGCGCAGCCGCTTCTTGTGTATCAGAGTACAATACTGCGCTTTGGCGTGCAGACGTGTGCGCATCCCCACCTTGTGGGACTAACAGTGGCGATAGTGGGGAAGCTCGGCGCACTGAACGATAACTTGCATCTGCTCACCAGGCATAGGTCTTCCTGGATATATAAATACGGTGAGCGGGAACATATGTGCACTTCAGTTCACTGATCAGTATGACGTCCGTCCAACCTCCGCATAGCCATCGTGGGTGGGGGTGTTTGTGGATTGACATGCGCGGTCGCACTCTTGCGAGAAGGCGCTAACGTACAAGTCTATGAAGCGGCGGTGAGTCCTAAAGCTCCTAGTTGATCCGCTAGTCATCCTATCCTTCTCAGGCAAAGTTTGGCGAAGCATTGGCCTAGGCAGGTAACGTAACTCGGCTGCCGTCCCGGACCTGCTAACCATTCGAGTAAAGGTCCGAATGCGCTCCGTATACTGGAAACGCTTCAAGTCCTCGATGACATTCAAGCTCGCACGGAAGAGACATCTGAGACCTCGGATACCTCGAACGAGCACCGCGACATCAAACACGCAAGCGGATGGTTTGAGTATGTCTCAGGAAGAGATGAGAAAAATGTATTCCTTGACGTACGTCTCCTAACGCAAGATGCTATGCGTATGTAGGATCCTAATCATGCCCATAGTATGACGCGTCCGAAACGGTTGACCCCGGAGTGCACCGCGCAGCTTTCCTCGACGCCCTTGTCCAACACATTCCCGAGGAGCGTACTCATTTCCACAAGCGGTGCGTCCATGTCACTCCGCCCTCCACTTCCGAAGGGCCTGTCGCTATACACTTCAAAGATGGCACCACCGCCGAAGTAGACGTGTTCCTCGGCGCTGACGGTATAAATCGGAGTGCCGTGCGCCACTTCCTGACGAACTCGTACCGCACGGATGTGGACCTGTTCTTGAAGTTCAGCAACACAGTCGTCCATCGTGCCTTAGTTCATGCATCCAAGGCTGCCGCGGCAGGCGTGACGATGGACTTCAGCGAACGGCCCGTCTGCTTTATTGCTGACAGGAAGCACGTCATCGTGTTCACTATCCGAGGTGGCAGCCTGGTGAGTCCCAGTCTATGCGCCTTTCGCAGCACTTGTCCGAGTAACGTCGCAGCTCAACGTCGTCGCCTCTGCCGAGTCTCCTGCCCCCTACGATGCAGAGCTTCCACCAGCGTCGGCCGAGGTTTCTGAGGAAGTCATCACGCAAGAACTTATAAGCGCTTACGAGGGATGGTCGCCTGAGGTTATGAAACTCCTCTCTTACGTAGAAACGCCAGCAAAGTGGAGCATCAACGTCGTCTATCCGCACTTGTCTGTAGAGAATTGGGCCAGAGGCAGGGTAGCTGTTCTTGGAGATGCGGTAGGCTCTGCTAACTGCGTTGTATGTTTTCGACGTGATTGACCGCTCTGTTGACGGGCGCATGCGATAGTGCCTCATCTCGGCGCAGGTGTGGGCCAAGGCCTCGAAGACGCGTATCTCCTGGGCAAACTCCTCGGTAGCCCGAAGACTAACATTAAGAACGTTGAGGTATGACTTTATTACTCTGTCTGCTGACTACGTGGCTGAAGACTGCACGTCGTTAGGATGTCCTTCGCGTCTATGCGACCGTTCGCCAGCCTCGCGCACGGAAAGTTTGGGAGAACAGTAAGCGCGTCGCCGATATTTTTGAGACCGCAGAGCGTGATGGTATGGATGGAGATGAGCTCCACGCGCTCTGGGATTATGTCTGGGATCATGGTGTCGATGATGACGTGAACCAGGCTATCGAAATTCTGACACGGGGTGGGGTCTTTTTCGCAGATAAAAAACGATTCACGGAAAGTGAGACTTGTGGGTGGAACCAAGAGCCAACCTGAATGCATGTACTACTAGGACAAGCTATCGTATATTGAGACTGATATACATAAGTGCGAGGCCGCTGTTCCGCTAAGACTTCAAGTTTGCGGCCGTCCAGATATTATGTACAACACATATGACGGCTTAATATTGCAACATATAGCTGTGCCCACAAGATGTGAGCTGAGGCATTTAAACAAATTGCAGAGAAAGGCGCGCTGATACCCGAGGTGGTGCAAGTCGCGTAGCACGGGAAGTGACATTAATCACATGACCGCGTCGGGCGGCTCTCGCTCATCTTCTTCACGCTCATCTCCCCAGGCTCGGATTGAAGGAGTCATCGCCCACTCTGTTTATGCCAGTACAGCACGAGATAGACATGCATAGCCGAGAACGAGCCACATAAGCTCACATCCGTGGTGATTGCCCTTGGAACCGAAACAAATTGTCAACAGACTGAGCGTCTATGCATTCCGCCGATAGCATACTTGATCCTCTGGTGAGTGGAATGCACAAATGCGATAGAAAGCTTACAAGAGCAGACGACATGATTTTAGAGCCTGTGGACGGTTGGGCCAGAGACAGGATGGCTGTTCTTGGCGATACAGTAGGTCCCATCACTACAATCGGAGAACAACCCTTTGAACCCAAGAATAGAGCTTGGCGTAGTCAAAGGATGTGAAGAATGAGAGCCTCGGTTTGGTCATTCTAAGGTAGGTCTAGTGAGTGACAGTAGTGTGGAACAGTGAGGCCTTCAGAGACTACATCACACTCTGGCATGACCATCCAAAGCTGTTTCAAATGAAATGCTCGTTGAAGAGCCTTACACGTCTGTGAAAAAGAGAGCTTCAGATCTGTGTAACATGATCAGGCTCACTATAGCACGCACTTGGCGAAGGCTGAGGATATTCTGCACGGTGAGGTAGCGAAAGCACAAGGATAAAATGCTTTCAGGAAGCCCCTGAAAGATAGAGGTGCGAGATCACATTTGATGAGTGCTCTGCGTAGCTCCTTCAGCATCAGCAGGCCCATAAACTGTCGGTAATCATGCATGCCTCGCAGGTAAGCTCCTAAGAGAGCCACGTTTTAACGGTCAGGTAAAGAGACATAGCGGAAGTGCCTGAAGTTCACGGAGCTCGAAGCGGGCTTGGTTTAAAGCCCGACAGAGCTCTACTATAGCTTCCAGCCGGGCTGTTACAGGATGATAGGTGCAATTCTTTCCCTTGTAAAATCAGTCAAAGGTTTGTTGAATGAGAACCTGTGTTTCTTCAGTGTTCACCTGTTCACCTGAAGAGAATCAGGGGCAAAACTTCACTTTATTATTATAATTATAGTTTTACCACGTTCTATGTAACCTATTTTGACCAGTTTGAGAGCCGGTCCCTCGCGAACGAGAAGCTCTTGGAGGGAGAGGGGTGGGGGGCAAGCGTACCATGTAAGTCTCCCCTTTTCATTTTCCTCTTTTGCTTTCTTTATTGCCCTGGCTGGCCTTGGGGCAACCCTTTTGGAAGGGGCTGCGCCGTTTTCGCCGGCGGCTACCCTGGCCATGACCCACCTGCCAGTTTCCGGTTACTCGTGGGACATCATGGGACTACAAAGAGCAGGCAGCCGTTCTCTGAAGGCATCTGGACACCACCAACGACAATGACTAGTACTTTCAACAGTCTCCGCATAGCCATCGTTGGCGGCGGCATCTCTGGACTGACGTGTGCACTTGCTCTCCTACGAGAAGGCGCAGATTTACAAGTCTATGAAGCGGCAGTGAGTCCTGAATCTCTCAGATCTACCTGTTAAATATCATATTCTTCTCAGGCAAAGTTTGGTGAAATTGGGGCAGGCATTGGCCAAGGCAAGTAACTATTGTCGTGGTACGACGACTGGGCTGCGCGAGCGCGAACTGGCGAGTGGCACGCGGGCACGATCTAATACACACAGTGGTTAGTCTGAGTGCGAAGGGAAAGAGTGTTGAAGCGCCTAGTGGCTCTGGCTCGGCGTTCCGCCCGGCATGGACTTAAGGTGGACATCTTAGATTAGGCGCTACTAATACGTAGATAGTGATTGGACAATCATATGTAGTGCTCCCACGCACGGACCTCTTTATGGCAGGCTTCCCCATTCTAGCGGACTTTCAATTTTGCTTCCTTTTAGTATATAAGGACTCCTCTCGCATCCCCACTCTGCGTGCTCTTTCCCTTCGCACTCAGAGTAAGTCCCCTTCGTCGCCCTTGCGCATTATGTAGTATGCTCACCAGACCCCTGTCTAGCTAACACCGTGTGTATTAGGTACATAGCTATACAGCGTGCTCTTTCCCTTCGCACTCAGACTAACACCGTGTGTATTAGATCGTGCCCGCGTGCCACTCGCCAGTTTGCGCTCGCGCAGCCCAGTAGTCGTATCACGACAATAAAGAGCACACTATATAGGTAACTACCTAATACACACGGTGGTTAGCTATACAGGCGGTGGTAAGCATGTGGCATATTGCGCAAGGGCGACGAAGGGACTTACTCTGAGTGCGAAGGGAAAGAGCACGCAGAGTGGGGACGCGAGAGGAGTCTTTATATACTAAAAGGAAGCAAAATTGAAAGTCCGCTAGAATGGGGAAGCCTGCCATAAAGAGATCCGTGCGTGGGAACACTACATATGATTGTCCAATCACTATCTACGTATTAGCAGCGCCTAATCTAAGATGTCCACCTTAAGTCCATGCCGGGCGGAACGCCGAGCCAGAGCC